CTCAGGCAATCCTTCTGCCTCAGCCTTCCAAGTAGCCAGAACTACAGGTGCATACTACCATGCCCGACTAATTTTTTGATTTATTGTAGAGACAAGGTCTCGCCAAGTTGCCCAGGCCGGTCTCAAACCCCTGAGCTCAGGCAATCCTCTTGCCTCAGCATCCCAAAGTGCCGGGATTATAGGCTTGAGTCACTGTGCCTGGCCAAGCCTGAATTCTTGATGACCACAAAAGAGTCCCAGCAGATTAGTCCACTCTAGTGATGACACCTCATGACCCAGCCCTTCTCTTTGAGTTTGGAAGAAGAAAGGAAATTGTACATGTGCAGCATCCTGAGAGGTGTGTCTCATAAGGAGAGGCACAGTCTCACCTCCAAGTCTGGAAGTTGGAAAGGGGGACGGAGGAATTGGTATTGACCTCAATTCACGGACACATTTATATAAGACTCTGGTGAGGTTCAGCAGACAGCAGGAAAGCCACCTTCCCAGGCTCTGCATTCAGCGTGGCAACCACATGGGCCAATTCCCCTGTCCCTAAAGATGGTCCTGTCAGTGGTTGATGGATGTTCAAATAGATTTCTGTGCGATTTGCTCTTTGATTTTTCTCCGGGAGTATTTCCAGTTCCGCGGAAAAACAACAACAAATCAATCACCAAAGTAGATATGCAGTGAAATCCTAAATTTAGGCCTGGGAAACAGAAATACTCCAACATTATTGAGAAATCCGGTTTCAAGGAAAACACCATTCACCCCAAAGATCAGTGAGTTTCATATAACTTAGACAGTTTAAAAAACATGACGATGTTTGAACACCCATTCCAAATTTAGACTCTGTTCATATTTAGAAAGCAAGTAGTTGTCATCATGTTTTTATTATTACCACTTAATTTTGAGGAATAGAGATTTTTCTAGCAATTCTAAGAGTGCTAGTGACTGGAGATCCATCTCAGGCTACAGTTTGCTGTCTGAAACTCAGTGTGAATTAGTAAAAAGATACCCATAAGGGAGAGGGGAAGAAATGGTGACCTAGAAAAGTGTTTTCAAGGGACCTATCCTTAAGATGACTACAGCAGATGACCTCTGGATGACCGAGATTCTGCCTACAGTCAGGGGACACTGGTGATAAGTTTGTAAAACACTCACTAAGGATGTCCTGCTAAATCCTTCTGACAGACGGGTTGCTTCAAGCCTCTCTGCATCCTACTCCCAACCTCAACAGAGGGTCAAGTTCAACTCACTCTAACTTGAAATTTATGGAGCAAAGCAGCTCACACCAACATTTTTAATTTAGTTAGCTCCAAATGATTCTAAACTTGAACTTGGAACAAATCATCCATCAGTGCTTTTCTAATTAAATTGGCAAAAAATTAAGACTTGATATCAAAATCAGAACTTGGTCGTAGAAACTTGAACACAGACGGTGCCAAGTACTTCTTGTAAGTGACCTCCACACCACGTTGACCTGCACAAAGGGGTTTTTGTTCAGCTACAATTTATCCTCTAAAAAAAAAAAAAAGAAGGGCAAAGCTCTACGTGTCAAATCTGCTTACCTTTCAGGGCAAATATGAATAAAGTACTGTCTTTGGAATCTTTGTCCAGTAACCCCTGGGACTGATCTGATGCTTCAAGGCAAGTGGATGAGAAGGGAGTTTCAGCCTAAGAACTCAGGTCTAGCCTGAGGTTTGTGGAAGTGTTCACCAACTTACTCTGAGACACACAGATCTTGGGTAACAGAATTGTGTGCCTAATCTTTATTGAACCTAAGTCTGCTTGACTTCTATCATGCTAGTGGTGCTCAGAGTAGCACCCTCTCCAGCAGCAGCAGCACTGGAAGTTGCCCAAAGTCAAGTTCTCAGACTTCACCCCAGATGAAGCCCAGCAATCTGTTTTGTTTGCTTGTTTGTTAATACAGGGTCTGGCTCTGCAGCCCAGGCTTGAGTGCAGAGCAGTGGTGTGATCACGGCTCACTGAAGCCTCGAACTCCCGAGCTCAAGCGATTCTTCTGTCTTAGCCTCCTGAGTAGCTGTGAATACAGGCATGCACCACTGTATATGGTTAATTTTTAAACTGTTTTTGTAAAATGAAGTTTTGCTACATTGCCCATACTGGTCTTAAACTCCTAGCCTCAAGTGATCCTCTATCTTTAGCCTCCCAAAGCGCCGGGATTACAGACAGGCATGAGCTAATCTGTGTTCTTCATAGTTCTAGTTGATCCTGTTACATGCCAGACTTTGAGAACTATTGCATTATACAATGATGCCTTCTTCAGTCAAGCTCCAAAAACAACTGAAGAAATCCACCACATTTTGAAATCAAAGATGGTTGAAAAAGATTGTATTTAGGTGGGGCATGGCAAAAAATATTCACCTATTGATAAGAGGTAGGAGAAATGTATTTGACTGTGTGCCATGAGTCATTTTGGCAGTAAAATTGGTTTGTTGCTGTGTCAAGATATATCACTTAAAATCTAAGAAAAATATTAGGCATCCATTTTCCAAGAAGAATGACTAAGTCCAGGGTTATAGTCTGTTTTAATAAATTTGCTAGATTATTGATAATGTTGCTTGTTGCTTTCATGAACTTAGCTACTGCAATCCTATTTAGGATTTTGTTTTTCTCAGAAAGAATATAAGAGATATCTCACTTGTCAGTGAGATTATTCCCACAAATATACTCTGTTAAACGTGTGAGAGTTCAGGCATTAATCTACTGTGACTGCAAGGCATATTATTTAAAAATTTTTGAACTTCATCTTTTGTTTCCAGTTTTCCTTGCCTGAAACGGATTTCATCTGGTGACTTACAAAGCAGAATGCTGACATGCTATCCCTTAAGCTTTTCAAGATTGCTTATTCATGAGCAGTCTTGAGTCAGTGAGTGAACTACTCTATGTTGGTTTCTCTAAGAGATGACTCAGAATCTGACATCCAGTAACAGAAGAAAATACAAACCACCACATTAAAAGTAACCTTTATTACATTTGTTTATCACTTAGTTTGCTTATGGTTTATAATCTCACAGAAAAAAAATATTATTGATATCAAAGAAATTGCAGATGATTTTATGCCAACTGGCATTTGTCTACTTCAAATCCCACAAACAAATATTCTTTGTAACCGAAACAATATTTTTTACAGTTTGCTATAAATAATTCACTAAATTAGAATTTACTAAATACTAAAAAGAAAAAAACAAGAGTTTCATCATGGTATTGGAAACAAGGAACAAAATTTCAACTAAGGACAGCCTGACCTTTATATATTTCCAAAAATAAAATTGTATTATAAAATTAATAAGTTAATGAACTAAAAGACACACACTTCACCTAAGATAAAAAAATACTTAATTTATAAACCACTATAGACTTCAACAAAAGGAATGAAGTGAGATCATATAATTTCTTTTTTATAGATTTTAAGGATCTTAACTTATATTTTAATATTTTGTTCATATATAGCCAAGAGTAGGAGAGAAAGCCAACCTAGGATCAATCCAAAGTTTTGCAGAAGAAACATCATCCAGGGTCGTTGTGTTTGAACATGAGTCATTTCAGGAAGCTAAAAAAAGAATAAAAACCAGAATAAGATCCAGATATATTCAACTGCTGGGAAAAGCTTGGTGGGAAAACACAAGCAACTCTGTTATTCAGAACTTAATAACCTTTAAAATTCCCAAAACAGTTACAAAATGCTTCATACCTACTCTACCATGGTTTTTAAATGTAAGCTAAATTAAGCCATTAGATTGTGGTTATAAGGCTCTCAGTATTGGCAGAAATCTTAAAATGACATAGTTATCCACTGAAAGCAACCCCAACTCTTCTTACTTTTGTTTTCAGAAAATGTTTAAATGTGAAATAGATAATACATGAAAAGTATTATTTGGAATTATTCTATTAGGTTTATAAAACTACTAAGTGCACAGGTTGTTGCAAAGTGTATATACACATATAAAACCAAGCATACAGAGAGAGAGAAAGAGAGAGAGAGAGAGAGAGATATGACCAGGGTCTTCCTGATCTTTAGAATAGTAAAGGCATTATCTCCTATGGCTATCTTTTATTCTTAGAGAAACATGTGGCAACGATTTTATGTTATGAAATGCTCTAACACCATTTTGAGGGGAATAGTTACTCAAGCATCTACGAGTATATGAAGTGCCCCAACATGTTTCTGTCTCATATTATTTTGATTCCTTCAGCCTGAGAAGGTCTGAATGAGTATATTTCAATCACAATATAGTCACTTCTATTGGAATGCAAGTTCAGGTCCACATATATTGGAGATTTGGAAACTCGGTCTTGGCATTATTGATATTTGGGATCAGATAATTCTTTGTTGTGGGACCTCTCGTGTCCATTATAGGATGTTTAGCAGCATCCTTGGCTGGTACAAGACGTCATTTGAACCTCTGCCCCCCAGTCAGTTAAAACAACCAGAAATGCCTCCAGATATGATTAAATATCCCCTGGGGGGGATAAAAATCACCTCTAGTAGAGAACTACTGGATTATTTTATTGGCCAAATAAAATATCAAACATATAAAATAGTCAAGGGCTTTTGATTTAAGTCAATGGAAAACAGGTTGACACATTTAAAAATGCCAATGGAGGCCGGGTGCAGTGGCTCAGCCTGTAATCCCAGCACTTTGGGAGGCCGAGGCGAGAGAAATGTCTGTGCCTGGGGGTTCGAGACGAGCCTGGGTAACTTGGTGAGACCTTGTCTCTATAATAAATCACAAAAACTAGCTGAGTGTGGTGGTATTTGTATGTAGTTCCTGCTACTTGGAAGGCTAAGGCGGGAGGATCGCCTGAGCCCAGCAGGTCAAGACTGCGGTGACTGTGAGCATGCCACTGCACTCCAGCCTGAGTGACAGAGTAAAACTCTGCCTCAAAATAAAATAAAATAAAATACAATAAAGATAAAATAAAATAAAATAAAATGCTTGTAGAGGAGCATCTTGAATGTTCTTGAGATGGGTATTTCTTCCTTTAGTTAATTTGATAGAATGAGATATGGATTTTTGCGACCCACTACCTCACACACCAGTATGTAGCAGTAGACTAAATGACAAAGTAGGATTTAGAACAGCTCTCCTGGATGAATAATTTTAAACAAATTATGAGCTATTTTGATGTGTTTATGCCATGTTTAAACATGCCATTTTAGAGAAATTCTGTGTAATTCATCATTATAAATTTAAAATATCATTTCAAAAAATCTATGGAATATGGAAAATCCATAATCCTATGTTTCTGCATTTGTAATAAAATGACTTAGAAGAAAGAAGCTGAAACATCTGCTTTTATATTTTACATATGATATATATTTAATTACATTTATTTAATGTTTAAATTACATGGAATTGGCCGGGTGCTGTGGCTCAGCCTATAATCCCAGCACTTCGGGAGGCAAGGTGAGAGGGTTGCCTGAGCCCGGGAGTTCAAGACCAGCCTTGGCAACTTGGTGAGACCTCGTCTCCACAATAAATCACAAAAACTAGCCAGGCATGGTGGCGTGCATCTCTAGTTCCAGCTACTTGAAAGGCTGAGGCAGAAGGATTGCCTAAGCCCTGCAGGTCAAGGCTGCGGTGGCTGTGGCATGCCACTGCACTCTGGCCTGGGCGACAAGAGTGAGACTCCAACTCAAAAATAAAATAAAATAAATCACATGGAATTGCAGAAAGTTGTTCAAATAGTTAACAATGGGTTTATGATCAACTTTCTCCCATTTTTTTTCCTATTTAGTGAATGAACAACTACCATTCTATCAAGAAAACTATTTTGAGCCTGGCTCAGTGGCTCAGCCTGTAATCCCAGCGCTTTGGGAGGCCGAGGTGAGTGGATTGCCCGAGCCCGCAGGTTCAAGACCCACCTGGGCAACTTGGTGAGACCTCATCTCTACAATAAAACTTGGTGAGGCCTCATCTCTACAATAAATCAAAAATTAGCTGGACGTGATAGCGCATGCCTGTAGTTCCAGCTACTTGGAAGGCTGAGGCGGAAGGATGGCCGGAGCCCAGCAGGTCGAGGCTGTGGTGGCCAGAGCGGCCACTGCACTCCAGTCTGGGTGACAGAGCGAGACTCCAACTAAAAAAAAAGAAAACTATTTTGGATTCTAACACTTTGATATTAACTCAACATCCACAGTGGTCATGGCAGCATTTTAGTTAAAGTTTATATGTGTGGGGAGGGGATAGTATTTGTTCCCAAGGAGCTTGCATTTGATGGTGCTTTTGAGGGATTCACAAGATGCATGCACTGGAGTTTCTCAGTGACTTTGATTCTAATAGTGTTAAGCATTTTTCCTTTCTTTCTTTCTTTTTTTTTTTTTAGATCGGGAAATATAGTTTATTTAAAAGTGACTTAGAGAGAGAGAGACAGAGAGAGAGAGAGAGAGAGAGAGAGAGAGAGAGAGAGAGAGAGAGAGAAACAGAAGATTCACTTCCCCAGGGTAGGGAAGGGGGCCAAAACCAGGAAGCATGGCAACAGCCATGTCTCAAAGATGACATGGCCACACCAGAGTCTAGTAAGGCAAGGGCTACGATGACCTGGCAATGGCCTACCAATTTTCAATAGTTTACTCCAAGGCCAGACAACATAGGCAACACTTTGCTTTGTCTACATCAGCTGTGTCTCAGATATTATCTGTGAGACACAATTATACCATCTTTGGTCACTTACCACATTAACTTTGGTTAACCTTATTTCCAAATGCTAGGACAAGACCTTGTGTAGTTCCCTCTCCTTCTTTTTATAGCAATATGATTAATTATCATTTACAAGAAGACATGATCAATTAACAGCATGTCCTATCTTTACTGTTCCTACTGCCACCTGGCTATTGTTTATCCTTGATAAACTGCATAGAAGTGGTTTCTGGAAATATTTTCTTGGCAGAGTCTTATAACGTATAGATTATTTACTAAGCTATCATAATTGTTTACAGTGGATTATTTTGGAGAAAAATATTTCATACAAGATAGAAGCATGGTAGTGAAAATGGTTCTGGTTCAGGAGATAGAACTTGAGATGAATTTTCAAATCATACATGTCTTAATAAACCTGCATTTTAGAAAGTTCTTTTTCAAATATTCATCTTTGTCTCAAACTTTCACCTTTATTGTTGAGAAGCAGATCCTTGACTAGGGTAGATTTAATAGCCAAAACATTATTTTAAATGTTATTTTAAAGATGTAAAGTACAATTCAAGGTTAGATATACAAATGGTCATTGTACAGGTAAAGTTTGGACCTTACTTTGGTCCCCACATCATCGGGTTTGAGATCAGGTACTCTTATTGATGAAGTGAGCCAAAACATTTTAGATACAAAAACACAAAGGTAGAATTAAATGTCTTGAGAATTGTAGCAAAATCTCAAGCAGTTTCTGTTCCAACTAAATTCAAAAATGTCACCATTTTAAAAAACAATCATTTGGTCTGTTATTTTTCTCACTAACCTAAGCTCATTGACCTACTGGTTCCTTGGAGCATATAATACTTCATAGAATTTAATACATCTGTTGATAAGAGCCCATGACTCTACTCCTGGTGAGAAAATCAAATCCTTTATTCTACATATGTAGATGGTATCTTCTGCAAGAAAGCAACATGAATATTTCACAGCAACATTCACATGAAACACGATGTCTCTGGTAGAGCTGCATAACAGAATCCTGCCTTTAAAAAAAATTAGAACAACGGACTCTATAACTTGCCTCCCATTCAGATGTCTCTTCTAGCTACACGTCTTTCCTTCAAGATCTTTCAGGAGGCTCTGGCTACAGTCTTAGGCACCACTTATTTTATATCCTTTTCATTTACATCTATTTATCACAGCTTTTCTAATATATTTTACCTTCTTCTACTCCTTATTAACTCCTTTTAGCTATGAGGAAAAATTGGCCTAGGGTGCATAATGGCTCCCCTCAGTCACATAGCTGTGATGTCAGAACTAGGACAAGAAGCCAGGTCTACTTATGACTGCAGTGAATATACAAAGACCTGCAAAGACTAGCTCTCTATTCAGAAATTCATCCTTGTCTATTGTGACTAAGATCTTTCTATTGTATTAAAAAAATGGAAAATGCCAATGCTAAAAATGTCCCATTGGGCATAAAATGGTCACCGCATGTGATGAAACTATCATGGAATACTTTATATGAGAGATATCATTCTGCCTCTGTCATAAAAGATATTATGGGCTCCATACTTCCATGCATTTGAAAAAAGATATAAAAAGCTATAAAAGCTATAAAAACAGACTTCACTTTGTAAGCCCATAGATAGAGACAAACAATACAAATGAACATTTCAAAAAAAAATTTTAAGGAGATTCTTATCCCAAAATAAAAGCTTTAATTTTAATTTGGGTGACTTATTTGAACTTTCTATATCCATATGTAAATCAGTTTGACAAGAAAATTCAGCTAAGCTTGCTTTTGAGACAAAACTTGTCTCTTTTTGGCATGCTTATGGATGAATAAATAAACCATAATATCTCTTGGATAAATACCAAAGTACCGTAGAGTCCTATAGAAAATATTTTCAAAAGATAC